GGTCCGTGTGGGGGGGGGGGGGGGTCCGTGGACCGGTCTTTACAGTGGTCCGTGGACCACGTCCTTGGGGGGGTCCATGGACCGGGCGTCAGTGTTTTCGGGTCACCCGTGTTCTGTATGCGTATTTATTTCATTCCGTGATTGCAACTGGTTCAGAGTACTGCATGCAGTTGATAGTTTGAAATTTAAACATTATTGAATTAAGATCGAAAAAGTAAAGCCATTCTGTATCATGCAGACATTGTCAAACGATATTTTCATGGCGGCTGCCACTTGAAAATCGTGTTTAACTTTTTGCATGAATTAAAGCAAAGGAGTAGTGACGTCACTAGACGGCATTAACGGCCGGCCGATTCAGATGTTCCTGAGGGAGTAATAACGACTCGAAGGAATCGGTTGAAATTCAGGCTGCCACTAAGCGGGGACACTAAAACTTAAAAAAGAAAAATATAAATTAATTAATTAATGAATTGATTAGTTAATGTTAAAAAACACCAGAATGTTTATGGAATGGAAGCTTCTTTCACGTTACTAGGAACAGAGCTCCATACCTTTAGGCCCATATACCTAAGCGAGTGCTGTTCAAAGGAGACTGTGTTAAATCTGGGTATATACTTAATTACAGGCTTATCAAATAGAGTGCTAATGTACGTAGGTCATCTGCATACATATTTAATAATATTCATACGTGTTAGGAGCCAGAAGTCGTGTCACAGAAACAAAAAAATTCCTCTTCCTTTCAATCCTTACATGGCTGTCCTACGTATTCGAAAGGTGGAAATACCTGGAGTAATTTTGCTTCTGTCGATAACGGTTTATTTGATAACTTTATTGCTGACGAATGAGTGGAACCCAGGTGAAGTATGGTTTGTACATGTTAAAATACTTGTATTTATTTAATAACTAAATTTGAGAAAAGGCTCCTTCAGCGCAAAGCAACCTCTTCACATAAGAAATAGTACATAAAAATAATCAAAATGACTCTGATTATTGGAAAATGCTGATGACGAGCAGTCTAAAATTAAAAAGTTAGTAAAGCATATCGGGAGCACCCAACGAGAATATAGTTCAAAACCACCATTGTTGAACGTACTTTAGTATTTAAACGGTAGATATAGACATAAGGAAAATGCTGATGACGAGCAGTCTAAAATTAAAAAGTTAGTAAAGCATATCGGGAGCACCCAACGAGAATATAGTTCAAAACCACCATTGTTGAACGTACTTTAGTATTTAAACGGTAGATATAGACATATTTTTATCCCCTAAAAATTTTTCATCTGTTTGGATTTCCTAGCTGAAAGTCTAGTGATGCGAAAATTATAGGAATCAAAACCTACCTTTTTGAAAATTTCAGCCTGAAAACTTGAATGGCTCCCGAAAATTGTAGGTGAGCTTTTTAGGGTAAAAATCCGTTAAAAATGGGCTATTATACCATTTTTTAGCTGTTCGAGAATCCTAGGAGCGAGAGGCAGGCAAGCAAGAAATTTTACAACAACTGCTCCCAAAATTCTAGATCTCAAATCGTCTTCCGAACAGATATTTTCCGAAAATTGACGTTGGGTGCCCTTGGCATATTTTTCGTCAGATTGAATATACAGAAAAGAACACTTAGAACTTAAGGGGCACCCAACAACGGTCTCCTCCTAAATGCATTAAAAACACTTTTTAGACTATCTAGAGTACTTTTAGAAGCTTTTAGATCTCTAGAAATGCATTCTAAGCGGCGCTATAAAATATGAATCTGATCTTTTCTTAACTACAAGGTCTTCATTATTAATTTCCCTAAAATTTTAGGTGCAATTTAAAGTTCTACGAAAGCGAGAATTTTTCTGTTTCTTCTCTCCATCGCATTTTTCAATACGAATTTTTTCTTCTAAAAGTAGCTTAACCTGGGGAGTGAAATGTGGAAAATTAAACTTCAGAACATGGCCGAGGAAATTTATTAGATTAGCTTCGAAAATCAGTTTTACATGAATGGAACGGTCATCTAGAAATTTTTAGCCTTTCTCAAGCTCTCAAGCTATATAATAGGGAATTTCTGTTTCTCCGAACAGATATTTCACAGAGAACAATCGTCGGGTGCCCTTGCAGAACCATGTATTTCAATCATCATGATAAAGGAATAACAACAGAAAACTAATTGGCCTATATTTTCTGTGTGCGTTATAAGGGATATAAAAATCCCTTACAACGCAAAAAAAATGCTCCCAACGTTTGAAAATGAACAAATAGCTTGAGAAGCATACTTGTGAAAAACTATGATTTTAAGTTTTGACGTGGAGAAGAGGAGAATTAAAAGGCTTTGTCTCCATATTGTAATGACTCTCCGTTATACACGTTTTCATATCTGTCATGTTTAACAAGCGTTCATGAAAAATTGTTAATGTACACAAAATAAATTTATAAAAAAATGTCTCAAGTTAACACATTTATTAGACAACTGATTGCATGTATTTTATGTTTTTTTTCGGTAATCTTTTGTCACACTTGACGTGCAACTGACCTTAGTCAAGACAACCAAACCTGCCGTAGAATATGCTGAAAAACAAAACAAGGAAAGTTGGGGTTTCAAAGGCCACATGGTGAGTTAATTACAGAATTATATTAAAATCATTACGGTGAGTTATAATTAGTCATTGGTTAGCTACCAAATCATGAAATTTTAATATTTGGTATTCAGAATATTGAAATTTCGAGATTTTACGTACAGAATATTGTCGGAAATTTTAAGATTTGACATTCTAAAACGGATTCTGCATTACAAATCTTGAAAAGTCTCAAGATTTTGAATAGCTAATACCGTAAAATAACGAAAATAAGCCCCTCCCTGTATACGCCCCACCTGAACTGGTAACGCAAAAAACTGTCCGATAAACCGCCCCTCTAAATACAAGCCCCGGGGGCTTGTACTTGGAAATTACCATTAAATTCAAAATAAAGATAGGAAAAACTGTATATTAGTAACACATAAATTGTTGCATTTGCCAAAGAACTATTACGTGTGCCAAATGATTGCAATCAAAAAGTGTCACATTATATTGCTGTACTTTATGAAAAATTCGACCGATTTTCGTAAAACAGTGGAAACCAGTGTGGATCTGCGACTTTTAATTCTCTCTTCTTTTTCAATCCACTGTAACAGATCTCTGAGGACCAGGAGCGAATTGAACAGAGACAAATTAAACGACAGAAAAATCTCAGAGACTACTGTGGAAGACACGTTGGAAACAGCAAACAAGGCGAGACTATGTCCAGAGAACTACTGGGTCATTTAATCGTTAACGACAAGTATAAAGTTATCTACTGCTATATTCCCAAGGTTGCCTGTTCTCAATGGAAGCGTGTCTTTCTTGCGCTTGAAAACCGAACCAACGTGACAGATTTACACTCTGAGAGTAATTTTAAGTTTCTTCAAAAGTATTCCAACGAGGGTGTTAAAATGAGGCTTCAATCCTACTATAAGTTTCTCTTTGTTCGAGAGCCTTTCGAGAGGCTTTTGTCAGCGTATGAAAACAAGTTTGTAAAACGGCAATGGCCATGGCATAAGATTTTGAAGTTCGAGGGGGACATTTATAAAAAATTTAGTCAAGTTGATCCTAGCGCCGGCCAGATTTTGACATTCAAGAGATTTGTTTATTTTTTGAACGATTTTGGATTTAATCTAAACGAGCATTGGGCACCGTACGGACGACTTTGTTTCCCATGTGACATAGAATACGATTTTATCGGCCATTTTAAAGACATGCTGGAAGAAGCTGCTTACGTCCTGAAAAAAACTGGAATGGATAAAGAGGTTACTTTCCCTGAGTTTGTTACCCATAATACAACAGGTAAACTGCTCCAAAAATATGCACCAGTTCCCACAGAGAAGATTGTAGAGCTAGGACATACATTTAAAGAAGACTTTGAAATGTTTAATTATGATTTCCCAGGGCCTCTTTCTAGCCTTTTGGAAGATTAATTTCCTGATTAAAAAGTTTGTTCACGCTGGATCCAGAATAGAAAATGAATTGACTGAAGAAGGAGGTCCGTTTTATGAAGATTATTTCTGTTATTGCACAAAACGATATATTCCGAAATAGTTCTGATTTTTAAGAAATGGTAAACGCGCACTATACAACTCATCATCGAGTTTTGTTCTCTTGATTCATACAAAATCGGTGGTAGCAAGTCCTTTTATTAACATGAATGATTTTAACACTTGTTCTCAATATTAAGATAGAATGTCGTGAGACAAATTTATTATTGTCGCTTAACTTAAAAATTGACGCCTACTGCTTTGACAGGGGCACCCAACGCCAATTTTCCGAAAATATCTGTTAGGAAGACAATTTGAGATCTAGAATTTTCGGAACATTTGTAATAAAATTTCTGGCTTGCCTGCCTCTTCTAGAATTTTCGAACATATAAAAAAGTGGCATAATAACTCATTTTTAACGGATTTTTACCCTAAAAAGGTCACTTCGAATTTTCGGGAGCCTTTTTTTCCGGCTGAAATTCTCGAAACGGTAAGTTTTGATCCCTATAATTTTCGGATCACTACACTTTCAGCTAGGAAATCCGAACAGATGAAAAATTTTTAGGAGATAAAAATATGCCTATATCTACCGTTAAAATACTAAAATACGTTCATCAATGCTATGTTTAGGTGGTTTTGAACTATATTCTCGTTTGGTGCCCCTGCTTTGAAAGCGGGTTAGCTTTCGTCAGCTTTAACACGGCAAGGGCAAATCGTAAGTGACCCTGTACGATTGTTATCTTTTAATTTATTTTATTTTAAACGAAAAGCCTTGAGCGAGAAATGAAAATGTATTTTTACATTTTAGATAATTAGAAACAATACATTATCGGCTTAGCTTTGGTTTTGTGGCACACAGTATCATAGTGATGCGGCGGCTCCTGCGGTTATTTGAATAAGTGTTTTTTTTATTATTATCATCACTATCGTTAATATAAGTAGCTAGAAATTGTTAGTGTGGGACCAGGCTCAGTATTGAGGGGAAAAGGAGAAATAATCGACGTGGGCGAAAAAAAATTGTTATCAAAAAAGTTTTTTACACTTAAAGGGGCTTCAACACAGTCTTTCGCGTCGTTACGATAAGAGCGGCGAGTTTTGCTGCGATTTTTGCGCGACCTGTTGCTCATTTTACTACCCACGTGCTCAACTTGTTGAGCAACCATTTGATTACAGCAGTTTGGCCCAAAAAGTAAAGTAGAAGCGCCTTCTAGTCTGTGCAACAGACATGCAACCGAATAAAGAACTATTGTTGCTTGACAAAATGCTTACAAAGGTGGTAAATCGAGTAACACTGATTCCAGCAACAATGTTGCAGGAAATGTTGGATGAATTTCACTGCTGCCCGCACAACGGCACTTTTATCGAACTTTTACTCTCTTCTAAGTCTCCAGGGGACAGCTCTGTTTGAGGCCTCCCCTCACAGTCCCAGTTGTGGACCAGGAGCCTGCTCATGTCAGTGTGGACTCTTTTTCTTTATCCGGAGGATGAGCCTCGACTGAAATGATTAATTCGCTTGCAGATTTCAGAGTACAATACAGAATCTATCCGCTTAGAGTAGGTTGCCATGGAATGCTTCAAATGATATTCTCTGGCACGCGAGTTATAATCATACTGCGCATAAGCGTATTTTTAGGTGATGTACGCATCTGGAAAACGGATGAGAATAATCCGCATCTGACGAATCGAGACGGAAAGAAGAAGTTCTTCGTTCTTTTCAATCCTTGCATGGCTTTCGTACGCTGTCGTAGTTTGAATTTACCTTCAGTCATTATGCTCCTGTTGGCTACGACGTATTTTGTGACTTTATTGCTGACATTTGATCGCCACCCCGCAGGTGAACTTAACTTTTAGTTCGTTTTTTGATATAATTAGCCGTTTAACCAAATTTGTAAAAAGAGTTTCAAAAGATACCGCAAACTCTTTGGAGAGAGAAAAGAGAATGTAGGAGAAAGATAATTTTAAAAAAATAAATAAATAGTCAAGTGTTTTTCGTCAGATCGGATTGACATTAAGATGCCTTATACCATTTGTACTTTTTGTTGAAGATAGTTTGTGTGATAAACACTCTGTAAACTGATACGTACCCTCTAAACCTGTACGCTTAACTTGGTAAGAATATTCCTCGATCAGTCTTTATTAGCAAGAAATGACCGTACGTACCTTCAGGACAATTAATGATTAGAATATTACCTTTATCAGCATGAAACAGTGATGAAAACATCAAGACTCTTCGGCATTTTAAACGCAAAACTACAAATGGAAATCGTTCCTGCATAACTTTAATATCTTGCAACAAGGTCCAATATGGTTAAAAGCTAAAGGTTTCTATCACTCGGCCGCGATGTCATTCATTAAAAGAATTCATTTTTGTATTAAAGTGGCCTTCTATGAGAGTTGTTCTTCTCACGAATAACGAATTCAGTTATCTTTCCTGACGTTATTTTTTAAATATGGTCTTGCGCGATGTGGAAGTTAATACAAAGATAAAATTAAGAATATGTCCTGCTTTTTTCATTTTAAAAAAGTGTTTTATACCTCTGTTATGTGATCCTATTGAGGCAATTATCAGTTCCATATTTGGCCATTTATGTGTCACATAAATGTGGTGTTCAAAAAAGTGATTACAGTATTTAAAACTAGACCCTTATTATTGAACGTAATTTCAGTGTTTTAACTTAGTAGCCTTGGTGTTTTGCCTGAGTCAGTATGCAGTACCCAAGATGACAAACTGGCCGATCCCACGTCGTTTTTTGGTGGTTCTTTTTAAAAAAGTTAAACTTGGAAAATAATTCGAACTTTGACACTTTTTTAAGAAAAAAGCTAAACACAGTTCCCTGCTCTTGAGGATGCCATGAAAATGATTTCAGCCAAAGAGCACAGGGTAACCAATCGCATGAAAGGCGCCTGGACGGAAAAACCCCTTATATGAGATCAGAAGTATTGCTGTTCCATTGATATCTGGTTTCCACCCGGGATAATAAGGAGTGTGGAGTGGCTATGCTTTATCTCATATGCAACGCACACTCGTGGACAGTTGTTCAATTGATAAAAGCCCTCATTGAATTTATTAAAACAGAGATATTACACAACTGATAAATTGTATTTTTCTCGATTTTCTTTTGCCGCACCGTACGTTCCTGGAACTGAAAACACTGTCCCGACCATAGTGAAGACAAACAAAACTTTCGTAGGCAATGGTGAAAAACAATACAAGGTAGGTTAAAAGTTATTTGCAACCCAGGCCTCTAACCCCTCCCTCCTAGAACAGGTCATGGAAGAGATCTTCTGTTGCTCTAACTTTTAAAGGGGATATTGCTGTTTTAGGTGAATTCTGTGTAAGTCATTTCTTAGCGCCCTCAACCCATGCACAAAATACCCCAGTAGAGTTATGAAGAAGATATCATGACAAATTTCGTAGGGGAGCACTAAGCGTGATATATTTTTTGGTGAGCATTGAAACTTGAAAAGATTGGCCCAGCTTTTTCAAGTTTCAATCTATTTCGGTCACGTTGTCATCCGTTGCAACAGACAATAAGGAAACAGTTTCAGTGCCTATTGAATAAAAAAAATGGACCATTATTTTTGAAATACAATTGATACGAAAAAAGTTTTAGCGTTTTACAAAAGATATCAAACAGCATGACTTAGTCCCCTTAAATCTGTGGAGGAATCTTATAGCGTTACAATATGCCATGTTACAGTAACGTACTGGCTTTTGAATAGAAGCGAGGCTGAATAGGTTTCTTTGGAACTGCCCACCTACCCCTCCCATAAGCCATCATTTTTCCCAAAGTGAGAGGTAAGTGTTATTGTTAGCTTAGGGGAGGGGTAGGTGGACAGAAACCTAGATCCGACTTTTGTTCTTGGGCCATCGTTACTAAATCAAAAATAAAACACAAAAAGCGATGTTAAGTAATGTTAAACATTCTGAACCGCGACTTTCGCATTTATA